GGTTATGAAAGAGAAACCCTTTCGTAAATCAAATTTTCACCTTAAACCTTTTTTTAGAAAATAAAAACAGATGTAATGACAAGCATAAGTCCAAAGCTAAGGCTAAAGGAAAGAAATGCTATTACTATGGGAAACTGGGTCATTTTGCCAAGGATTGTTTAAAAAAAAATGATTTGAAAAATAATAAGTTTGCTAAATCTAATTTTGGTTTGGTCCTTGTGAATATGGAAAAACAACTGAGTGGTGAATGTATTTTAAATTCAAGTTGTTCTTTCCATATGTGCCCTAATAATGATTGTTTTCTTGATTTTAAAAAGGCTGCTGAAGGGCAAGTTATAATGTGAAATAACTATACTTGCAAAGTAAAAGGAATAAGGGCTATAAAACTGTTATTGGAAAATAGAAAAGTTTTGTTTCTAAAGGAAGCTTGGTATATACCCGATTTAAAGAGAAACTTGATGTCCTTAGATATGTTAGATGATAAGGAGTTTAACATAAACATAGGACAATGACATTAAAATTATTAGGGGCAATGATTTAATCATAAGCACTCCTAAGAGACATGATCTTTATTTCTTGAAAGCCAAAACTTTGCTTGGTTTAACTACTTCTGCTGTTTCTGAAAATTTTACACTCGCTAAACAATGGCATCATGGACTTGGTCATATTGGAAAAAAGGCCCTAAATTTTTTACAAACAAAATGAGTTTTTAAAAAACAAAATCTTGGTGATTTTGGTTCTTGTGAACAATGCATCATGGGTAAACAAGTCAAATTGCCTTTTCCTACTAGAATTCATAAATCCAAACAAATTTTGGAATACTTACATACTGATTTGTTGGGTCCGGTGCTATAGAGGTCCGGTTAGGTGGTGGCTGGCCAGGGATTTTTGACTTCAAAGGTGGCGGTTTAGGGATGATGATTTTTTCAAATTTGGACTCGTTTGCACATTTTAAAAAGTTTGGATACATAATTGCAATGTGTTCTTTATTTTTCTTTTATTTTTCTTTTGTTATATTTGATTAGGAGGGTAAAATCGTCAAAGCATGGTGAAAAGGACTTTCGGCTCACGAAACGTTGAAGGTAAGGGTATAAATGCCAATAAATGAAAGATATGGACGATTTCCACAATGCATGTCAAAGGTAGGGACGTTTTGTGCCAATTACCATATTCCCAAACATTATGATAAGGTCTATTATGCATATTAGTTATAGGATAAGAGCTTGAAAATGAAGGTTTATGCGATTAATTAGTCTCAGAGTCTTAATGTTTCTCTCGTGTGTGAGAGTGTTATTTCACACCACTTTTCCTATAATATACATAAACAAACAATATTGACCATAAAATATAACT